ACCAGAGAATCTTAAGCCCGACCATTTTAACATAATTTCCCTGGAAAATAAATCCAAGGTGATGAGGTGATGATACACGTCCTAATAATCCCATAAAAAAAACATAGACACTGCAGCACCTTAGGGGGGCGTGCTCCATTTTGACCCCGAGACTTCCAGGCCATACTCAGCACAGATGTTTCTGTATCCTTTGCCGGCCACTTGGTTATGGCGTTCCATGTATGTCCTGTTTGCTAGCATCTAGCACCCTGTTGTTATATGTGCTCAGGGGCATCTTTGCACAGCCCTTGCTTGGGGTCTTGCCTTGTGTGATAGACCGTAAAGTCTAGTGCTCAGAGTGTGTTCCTGCACTGCCATGATTAGTGCCTTTCTCTCAGTTCACCTTTGTCCAGCCACTGGTAGGATTTCTGGACATTAGCCACTTCTTCTGCCGGCCGTATATACCATGCAGGGTCCTGTAGATCCATGATGCTCCTCTTCTCAAATTTCTGCTGCCTGAGATATTAACTAACCACACTCTCAGTTGTGGCCATCTTCCTGAAGTACTTGTGGATGTTCATCGTTTCATCCTGGGTGGCAGTTCTGACACTCACTAGCCTTGGCCACCTTCCTCCTTCTTAGTGTACAGTCTTAGGGTGCTGCATGCATGTCAGTGGCTTCCATCTCCTCTTTTGGCCAGCTTATTTCATGGTTCGTTCCTATTTGTCTATGGGACTACCCCCTCCCCCTTTTCTTTTAACGATCCAACTACACTTCTCAAGTCCAAATGGGCTGGAAGTAGCCTGCATATGATTATATCCGGCCCTAGATAATTTCACGTCAGTTATTGATGGTCCTCAGTAGAAACAGAATCTTCGGCCCTGCTGAGAAGCCATGCAGGCAGGGATGGGACTTTATTTCGATGGGCACACCATGCAGGCAATCTGGGATCATATCATTATGTTAAAATAGGAAGGGTGCAGACGTTACAAAGACAACAAGTGTAGTGGTACAGGCTTAGTACACAGAGACAAGGGTGCCGGATTTAAACGCTAACGTGTTGGGAAAAATGAGTGAAAAAGTAAACTAAGCAGCACTTGGCTGCATTTCAATAATACTGAAGACTGCTGAGTGCAGAATCTATCAAACTAGGAGCTGGCTAAAGTGACACCAGATTTTATTTTCAGCCATTTGCCATTATGCAGGACAAAAGGTTTCAAACTTGTCCAGGCCTTAAAGCTGATGTGTGCTCTCCCATCTAGTAATAAATGCATAAAAAATAAGGCTTTTCTGAAAACAATGAATAGAAAAGTCTCACAGGCCAGAATACATGCTTCAAGCCATTTATAATTCTTACCCTGTTTGATCTGTTGCTCACTACAAACAAGCACAAGAAAAATTTGTTACCCTAAACTTTAGTTGCATAAGTTTTACAGCTTTCCCCACTGATAAAAACGCTTCATACTACACAAAATAATTAAGCAAAAACAACTGAATGAAAAAACAACTAAACATATATCAAAAAAATGGAGTCTGAGCAATGAGCTACCAGAACTTTACACATTTATTTCTTACACTGAAAACCAAAGAGTCATGCTGACAGATTTGTCACAGCAGCTTTTTCTTTACCATCTAGAAACAGTTCAGAATCAGCATACTTTATTAATCCCTAAGGAAATTATGTAAATATGTAACTTCTTTACAGTGACATTGAGTTTCACTAGTCCGGCCCCTTAAGATCAACATTTGCTGTAGATCCTGGTGGTGTGGATCAGTGAAGCAGTGTCTCCTTCACTCCTGGCATACAGCTTGATATCATCCGTGTAGAGGAGGTGGCTAATAATTGCTTAAGTCCTTGGCCAGCCTGTTTGATGATCTGGCTGACGGGGGTTCATGCCTATGCAGAACAGTAGTGTGGGGCAGAACATCTCCTTGGTAAATCCTGCACTTGAAGCTGACCTCTAGTGTTTGCCAAATCCCCATCAAATTCCTTATGGTCCTGTCTTGTACAGTCAGAGGAATCCCAGGATCCATGAGTGAGGCACTGAGTCATAGGCTTTCTTATGGTCAATCAAGGGAGTGCACAGGTTGGTCAGTCTTGTCTTACAGTCTGTGGTAACTGCTCAACCAGTAGCAGGTTTTCACCACTCTCACCACCCCAACATAGCACACTGGAACCTTCAACAGTTTTAGTAAATCCTTTTGTAACCAATGCCATCAGTATATTTTGTAACAAGCTTGCGAAGCTCTTGACAGAGCACACTGGTTTTACACAACATGAGATGTTCCTTGTGTGACACCTTTTTATAGGCCATCAGTTGGGACTTGAGAATTAGCTGATATTAATCTGCACCTGGCGGCAAGAATGCTTTCTAATTACAGATAGATTTCAGCTGGTGTAATGAGTTCCCATGCTTTGTTGCACCTTTGTGTGTTCAATACTTTTTCCTCGTGTCATTTCTAATTGTTACACAATTTATGGACATCTATGGTTGGATTCTTTGCCTCTGTGGACTGAATTGGCTTTTACCAACATCTGGTGAAATCTATTTATTCCTAAAATTGGTGACAATTGGTGATACAGCAGGTGAAATAAGTATCTCTTTATCGTGGTACCTGGTTGCGGGTGGGATATATTACCAACATTTGGTTCTGAAGTTAGACACAGGAAAAATGGGCATGCTTAAGGATTTGAGGGAGTCTAACAAGAGCCAAATTGTGATCGCTAGACCACTGGATCAGCACATTTCCAAAACTGCAGCTCTTATGGAGTGTTCTCAGTCTGCAGTAGTCAAAAGTGGTTGAAAAGGACTAGCGATGAACCAGTGACAGGGTCATGAGCGGCCAAGGCTCACCAGTTCATCTGAGGAGCAATGGCTGGCCCGTGTGGCACGTCCAACAGACAAGGTACTGTAGGCTTAAACTGCCCCCAAAATATTGGTTCTGAAAGGTTACTGAAAAACAGTGCATTGCATTTTGTTGGGTATGGAACTACATAACAGCAGAACAATATGGGTGCTCATGACCCATCCATCAACAAAAACACCAACAATGGGCACTTGAGCATCAGAACTTAAATGCCTTAATGCAACTGCTGTTGTGATTTGGTGCCATTGAATTGAAATGGAACTGAATTGACCGTGGTGCCATGGAAGAAGGTAGCCTGGTCTGGGAATCATGCTTTCTGGGAATGGCCAGGTTCTGCTGGGGAACCTTGGGTCCTGTCATTCATGTGGATGTTACTTTGACATGTACAGCCAACCAAAGCCTTGTTGTAGACCATGTACATCCTTTCACTGAAATTGTAATCCCTGATGGCTGTGGCCTATTTGAGCAGGATAACCCTTGCTGCCACAAAGCAAAAATGTTTCAAGAATGGTGTGAGGAGCTATCTGTTTTCTAACGCCTTGGTGCAAGGTGTGTGTGTAAACTGTAATCGTTTTAGCAGTTTATCTATTAAGAAGTAAGGATGGGTATCGTTTAGGTTTTGTCCGATACCAGTACCAAACCGGTACTTTTGAAACGGTGCCGGTGCTTAAACGGTGCTCGAACCGGTGCTTAAAGAATGGAGAACACAAAATTGGTCCAAAAACCTCTCATGTTAGCTGTTTTCCACTTTTTCTTTGGTCATTTTAGCCTTTTTGGCCAGGGTGAAGGGAGTATCTGCCATCAAACAAGAAGACAGCCGCATGTAACTACGACGGTGTTTGCTAGTTCACCTTACATGCATTAATTTAATAACGTGGTTAGCCTACTCAACGTAAATTACACACAAACAACATTAAGCTACTCACGCAGAGAAGAGGAACGGCAGAGATGTGCACGGTGTGAGGTCTCGCAGCAAGCTATCAAATACGGCGCATTTCTCGGCTTTTAAAAAAACGCTATGCGTCGCCAGGTGTTTCATCAGATTCGAGGTGTTACCTCCTTTGCACAGTATCACCTTAAAGCACTTGTTGCAGGCTGCTGAGTTTGCATCTTTTGCTGTGAAGTACAGCCAGACTTTGACCGCTTCGCCTTGGGCATTTTTAATCTGTAGCTCTGCTCTAAAAGAACGTACGTACCTGGGCCCGCCTACTACGCTCGCAAAGGTAAAATGATTGGCTAGAATCCAAAGTGTATGACATCTCAGGAAAAAAAACAGAAATAAAGCACCGAAATGTGCGCTGCTTTTCGGTCTGGTTACTACCGTTTATGTCAGAACCGATACCGGTACCCATCCCTATTAAGAAGTGTATTATATTGGAATTTTGTCAGGGGTATCAGCCTGGAAATTTTTCAACTTGTTCAACTGATTTTGAATGACCGTTCCATTACTGCCCACTGCTCATTCAGCAAAAGTCTGTTTTTCACACAGATGTCACACTGAAAACAAAACTTTGTAAAACATTTACAGAACAATAAAATATAGTTAAGCTAGATAATTCTATCTGCCTTGTAATTTCACCTCAGACCAAACAAGTAACCACTGCACACAGCATGTCCCTTCTATAACTTTCAACTCTGACCTTTACCTGTGTTCCTTCTCATTCTAAGTTGCACTTTTCTTAAACTGCATATGACATTTCCACCTCATCAGGATTACACACTCAGTACATATTAATGGTTCAAATGTAAGTAAGATCTTTTTTTTTAGTTCTGATGCCATTCTAAAATGTCTTTGGTTTATTCTTCACTATCAGTTTATCAAAGTTGTGCAATGAAAGATGGGCCAATAACAAGGAGTATTCATACAATCTAAAAATATTAAACACCTGAAATAAACGTGATATATTCAGACACCAATTGATTACCTAGTACAGGAACAATTTGAGTGGAGCCAGAAAATTAAAATGTCTAATTCTTGTAATTGTTTTGTTTTTAATTTCTTCACTGTTTTATGTAGCGCCTGCATTTCTTAACATGGTGTAAATATACTGTACAAGGCAGGAACACAAGCCATCATACGAGCGAATGTATTATCTAAATAACAGAATGACATTAAATGTTGTTAAATGTATGTATAAATTAAGTGTTTTTTCCCCAACTTACCATCGTCAATGCTTTAAAATTCACTAGTAGCACTTGTAGTGACATTAAATATTTATTACAGTCTTACTACTCAAGTGAGCCCATAGTCAGTACCTGACAAAGCTTCATGACATAATGTGCCTGCTCAACCAGTTTTTGTATCATAGCCCAGTCACACTGCAAAATCACAATACTGTGATAAACATTCAGCAAAATGTTACTTTGCTGAAGTGTATATAACCCACAGAGGTAAACACTGTGGGTTATTTTCTTAGCTGGACTCTGCCTTACTCCTTAAAAAGAATATAAACACACAACTCTGGCAGCCACATAGAAGTGACCTCCCCACCCACACACACGCACACTATCACCCACCCACCCAGAGCTAAAGGGCCTGGCACTGCAAGGTTCTTCCACTAACTGAGTCTCTCCCCCAGTTAAACAGTGTATATCAGTCCCCATTCACATATACATAGTACCAGTACTGTCAAGTTGATGCATGTTCTACCCTACACTGACCCACCCCCTGCCTTCTATATTCTCCCATAACGCTGCTGTGGGCTATGCCAAGCCCATCTCCTCCAGTACACTTCTCGGTGATTCGTCCTCCTGAAAAGAAACAAATGGAAGACGCAACTTAAATTACAGACAACAAATTGTTCCATTCACATTGCATGGAGCTGTCACCTCTCACAGGCATACGTAGAAAGATGACCGTATGCCATTTATATTAGTATTACTGTATTATATGCAAAAAAATGCAACAGTTAGGGCTAGCTGACTCAGAGTGCAGGCAGAAAGGAAACTTACACAAAACTGTTTTTTCACCGACCAGGGAGGAACAAAAACGACACAAATTTACATATGCAGAGTGTACGAACTGCACAACTCCAAACTGAAGTTAGTCTGGTGATCATTAACACAACAAAATGTGTCCCACAGTCAGTCCATGACTTGTGACTGACTTTTCAGTGATAACTCACAGGTCACTAACTTTAACGCATCGTCTTCTTGAGTCATGTCAACTCTGAAGCCCAGCTTACCTCCTGCAGTAGGTCAGCTTGTTCAATGGCTTTGAGGACACTCTTTTTAGATGTGTCCTGAATCTCTCCTCCCATCAGGAACTCGTCTAAAATGAAGTAGGCCTTCTCAAAATTAAAGATGATGTCCAGCTCACATACCTACACATACACAAAACGCCACTCTTTACCATGCCAGGGAAAGTCTCAGAATGGTCTTTCAACTTTTCCCTTTGGAGAATTCAAACAAAATTATGTTTTAATAATTTTAGAAAACGTATACAAAATGATTCAAAGAGTGACTGCATGTATTATAGGAGTACATTTTTACTTAAACCAACTAAGGATAAGTTGCTGTACTAAGAATTATTGTTACCCCTGGACAAAATGTCAAACGAAATGTCAAACGATCACTGCGGCATCAATGAGAGTTAAAAACTGTCTAAATTCTTTCATCTTTAATAAAATGATCAGTGTTGCTGCTTTACCAGGTGTAACAATTAAGTTTAACATCCAGGCATCCATGAAAACAGAATTTATTAAATTTAACAGTTAGAAGTTAGCAGGAAGTTAGCTCGCTAGTTTCCACCTAAACAATATACATGTCTGACTGAGAGATTTCGAAAAAAAATCAAACTTACAGCCTGCTTCACTTAAATGAGGACAAAAAAACTAAACGCATGACTTTGTAGGGTTACTGAAGTTGGGCTAGCTGGATATAATAGTTTGCTACATGCTGGCTAGCTACAGAGCTATAGTTAGCATGATATAAAAACATTAGCACAGTGAGGCTGGAGGATGAAATATAAGTTTTTCCTGTTCCTGTTTCCATGTTAAGTTCCTGATCTTCAGCTTCATGTTCCCATTCCAATCGTCATTTGCCTCAGAGTGATTCTTTTCTGACTCATTCAAATTTTTGGTGTCTGAGCAGCTGGGTTGTAGTTACATGGTAAGGTTTTAAAACTGAGCTTTAAAAAGTGTTGCAGATGAATCATAGTAATGAAAACCCAGACAGGTCGACAGTGATCATGGACTATTTTTAGGGGCTTGTTCTGATTAAACAGAACAAGATGCAAAGCATTAAAACACGCCAAAAACACAACAGCCTTAATAAACGCAGAGTAGTTTGGACCCGATTCATATGCCATCAACTAGTCTCTTCCTTCAAAGTAATTCACATGCAAATCAGAAAAATCACATTAAGATGCACATATGACTTACACTGCCAAAATATTTATCCAGCAACTCTACGAAACGGTGTATAACTTCGAGTGTGATCAGCTCATTGTCTTGCTCTTCAATCGCACAACAGAAATAAAGGCTGGCATACCTGCAAGACAATATACACAAAAGTAGAAACAATTTTAAAATCCTACATTGCCTTGTTCTTAAGTTATCGCATTCACTAGATTTGCAGAAAACTTAACCTCTGACCTTTATGTTAAGGCCACTTATCCCCCTGATCTTGTTGACTTGCCTGATTTTGTAATTTGTCCAAGGTAAGTGGGCTAAATTATTAAATCCTTAATTCTGCTTTCTGTTTTAAATGCATTGTTTGCCTAGTTGTGTTGTAACCTCCAAGTTGTGCTTGCGTTTTGGTTATTAACACATCAATATCTCATTATTATATCAATATCCTAAAGGTGTTCTATTGAATTAATATTTGGTGACAGTGGGGGCGATGTGAGTATAGTGAACTCATTGTCATGTTCAACAAACCAGGTGACTGGGGGAAGCTGTCGTCACAGGATGGGCACAATGTGAGCATAAGGGTTGGACGGGTCAGGAAAAATACTCCGGTAATGATCCCATTTAACACCTGCCTGAACATTTCATACAGTGTAGGATAGCCCCATGCTTACATACTATTTATGTCGAACTCTGACCCTCTCATCCAAACGTCGGATAAGAAACTGAAGCTCAACAGACCACACACTCGTCTTCCAATATTCTATTTCCCTATTTTGGTGAGCACATACAAAGGAATGGCACCCAGTGTGGTCTGCTGCTGCCATCTTGTCTTTTGCATACTTTGGCTGTAATGCAGGGTTATGTTGGTACTATGGTAAATGGACTGGTTCTTATATAGCTCTTTTCTACTCCACCTGAGCATTCAAAGTGTTTTATACAACTTGTCTTGTTCACCCATTTACACAAGCTCTTATTTTTCTCTGTACATGCTTTCTACCACATTCACACACATTCAAACTCAGATGGATGCATTGAAGAGCAACTTGGGGTTAGTATCTTTCCCAGGGATATTTGGCACGTTTATGTATTTGGAACAGCCATGGATTGAACCACCAACCTTCTGATTAGCGCACAATGTGCTATACCTGCTGAGCTACAACAACCCTTATCAGATAGAAGAAGTCTTCTTCTCTGAAATGAACAAGTTATTTTTGCCCAAAGAACCACTGCTCCCTGCATATTTTCTCCTTTTCAGAACTTTCCCTTTAATTTCGAAAGAGGGTTGTTAGAAAATAGATCACCAATAGCGTGCGTCAGAGCAACATCCATGCCACATTCAGTCACCTGAATTACATTTCTTCCCCATTCTGAGGTGCTGACCATGTCTACATAAATGCATGGACTGGGTTGCTGCAATGTCAGTGGCTGATTAGACATTCAACAAGTAGTTAAAAAGTTGTACCTAACAAAGGTATACCTAACCTATCTATAGACTTGGAGTACTGTGTTAAGCCACCCATCCTTTCTTTATATTTTGCTTCCACGGAGCCAGACTCTTAATTTTTTGTAGTTTTTATTCAAAACCTTTACTTGGACATTAATTGTAGTTCACTGCCCAGACTGTCCTGTATTTACGAATCACTTTTGTTTTTTTGATTGATGAAATCTCCATAGTAGATAGTGAAAAACAGGAACTTTCCTGTCAATTAAATGTTTATGCTGGTGTAGCATGAATGGCTGTAGATGAAGTCTTTATCAACAGAAAAGACTGTTAGAAATTATTATTTTAAAAAAATAAAAATACAGTTAAAAGTCCAAAAATGTATGCCCTCCATCACATGTTCCAAGGACTCCAGTGGGCTGAATTGGTGTCTTTGCTGGATTGATTCTGGCCCCCTGGTCTTATGTTTAGCACCACTGATTTAATCCAGTGTTAGACTATACAGGTAGAGGGGATGCGTTCTTTAGTGATGGTCAAGGGTGGTTCAGTACCACATAAGACGGTTGTTGTTTTATGCAACAAAGTCTCAGGGACGATGCTTCTTTGGTCTAATTTCCTTCCCTTTGCTGCAGCTGAACTTGTCCGGTCTGTAAAATCTCAAGTATGCCTTCCAAAGCTCTGATGTAGAAAAGCAAATGTTCTAAGGCTTGTTGTGTCAACACTGGACTCAGCCATTAACTCTGCTAGGTGTGGCAAAGCCAGCTGATGTGGCTGGCCATAGTGGGAAGTAGGAGAGGCCACTGTGTCACTATATTAGTTACTATAGTGTGAAATGTGTATGGCTTCTTCAAATTTCAAATGACTCATAAAAATCTAATAATGTAACATTCAACAGAAAGACCTGTTGCATCTTCTAAACCAAGTTGTTTTCCTTAGGTACAGCTGGTTTAAGTCCTTATGATGCGTTTCTCTGACCAGGGAAGTCAAGGGAAGCAGGCCAGTAGTAACTTGCCCTGATGCTAAGAGCTCCTGGCAGTTAAGGCAATGCAAATCCAGCCTATGGCCCTGGTGATCAGGGCCACCCATATTCCTCCACCGATCACCGGATGTATGAGGCCATGGTTAAGTTCTCTGTAGTTAGAGCTCAAAGGCAGTAGTTCACCTAATTTGCCAATGCAGACTTATAGTTCATCTACGTGTTCCACCAGTGGGGGCTGGGCTGGCAGTGAAAGACCATGTACCACTGTGGTGGACGTGGGCCTATCGTCCCCATCTATATGAAAGCAGCTTCTCTTTCCAACAGACATTAATTTTAATGAAATACTCAAATACAGACAAATATGTAATTTTCCTTCCTGCTGTTTCTTTCTTGGAGACGAAGCACTGCCACATCTCATCCTTTTTACATGTTTAATACTGTGTTACTAACATTTCTTTTAAAAATTTCTAAACAATAAAGGCTACTGCCTAAATGTATAAAAGCACTAGTGCATTTCTTTACAGTTTCTTGATAATTAGTGATAAATCAACAGCAGTTCATAGCACGAGTTAGCTACAAAAGAAAATGAAACTGTAAATATCTACTCTAGAAACAACTGTCAGTAACGTTAAAATGAGAAAAGATGAAAATAGTGTAAAGAAAGCACCACAAGAAGCATGTGATGATGTGATGAGTACAAAATGTAGGACTGCCCATGGCACTTTTACCTTTTATAGACAATCTTGAGGTCGCGCCATTCTAGAAAACTGCACATCTTTGGTTTGCGAGCCAACACTATCTGCATCAGCTCCCTGACCATCTTCTTCTTGTCACGCTCAGCTGTGGCTGTGTACCACTTCTGCAGTCGCAGCTTGCCCTGCCGGCTGAACAGCAGCATGAAGCGCATCTACATGCAAAAACAGAACAGCCCCCAAAAAGACAGTACAGCATATATGAGAACATGTATTCAATGTGTAGGTACATGTCAATACATAAATGTAAATTAGAATTACTGGCCCAGTAAAGGAACCTTTCCTGTTAACTGCATTCTTGTGCCCAATTATGAGTCACTTCATCACAGTTTTTTATCATTTGCTCTTTTTGTAAACATTATCATCAAGTCTGACATCATTAACTATTTCTGTGTGCAAATGCTCTTTCAACTCCCAAAAGCAAAGAAATACAGGGACGTCATTAAGAGTTAAATATGGTCAAAACTATTTCAGCTCCAATAAAATAATGAGTGCGGCTGCTCAAGTGTTGCACCATTATGCTAAAGAGGATAAATAGGAGGGCCCCATATTAATAGAGGCAGATGCCATCATATGGTAGGAATCAATGGTATGGTATCAACATTTTGCAATGTGGTCTGGATTACTCGCTTAGAAAAAGTTCAGGTTCAAAGTTTAATATACAGTGAAATCTGAAGTCAGCCCAAGAGAATCACATCCTTGGTGACAAAAACCTCAGTGTGCACGGTGAGTCTTGGAAATTAAACCATGTCAACAGTGCACATCTTTTAGAGCACGCGGCGGCTCCTGTCTGCTCAAATAACAAAGAACTGCACCGTGTCTGAAATCCAGCAGAATAGATGCTTGGACTGAGATGTGCTGCACTCAAAAATCCACTCTGACATTTTGGGAGACTTTAACTCGTGGTAAACATTTCAGTAGACATATACTGCAAAAAAAGAGAATAGCATGCCAAATTGTTTTCTCAAATCACAATTAAAAAAAAAAAGGTCTAATCTCCACTTGGTGTCTATATTAGATCATCATCCCATATCTACTTGGTCCAAGGGAGTGTCACGATGAAACACATAGGGAGTTAAGCAGCAGTATAAAATAGCCATTTTAAAATGTTACAGTGATCCAGTCAAACCTACCAAAAAAACAAATAAATAAAACAATCTCATGGCTTTCTGTAATAGGTTATTTAAATTCCAGTCTACTTATCCCACGCCCTCCAAATCCCTCAGTTGTTAATGCAATATCTCTCTGATACGTCCCAAGTACACTACTGAAAACTGGCAGTTCAAAAGTAGAAGGTGAACAAAGTGGAGCATTTAGCAGTTGAAGAGTCAGTTACCTTTTTCAGGTGCTGGAAGACCAAATTAGGACTAAAACCAAAATTAATAATGGATTTGGTCACTAAAGACTTGCACTAGGATGACAATCTTTAAATATTCTTTGTGAAGTCAGCTGGGATAGGCTTCAGCACCCCCCGCGACCCTGAAAAGGATAAGCAGAAGCAGATGCATGGATGGATGGATGGATATGAAAGTCTATAATAACATAATGGCCATGACAAATTTACATTGCGGTTGTATGTGGCGAGTGTCTCATCATCCTATGCTGTTTCCCCACTGGCAAAGGAAAGGGAGGAACTGACATCAAATGTCTAATATTTTGGTTTGATATTACCTACACACACAGACGTCTTATACTGCATTTAAAGCAAACCCATATACACAACACTTCAATCACATAATGAAACCACTGGTATAAACTTAAGCTGTAATGTGTATTTCAGCTATTTTAAAACTTTGCAGATTTGGCAATACTAATCCGCCGTATCACTTACTAATTATGCTTACTTACATGTGCCTGTTACCAGTCTACAGTCTATTTGGCAGGGACGAGTGTGGGAGCTATGGCAGGTAATATTAACATCACCAGTGTCAGTCACATCATTCGGCCACGCAGAGTTTCAAAAACAACTGCGCTGAGGTTAAGCAGAAAGTTAGCCACACAACGAAACCTATTTCATTACTTTATGTTGTAACCCTAGGCTGGCAGAAAGAAGCACGGCATCACCTCCGTTGCTGACGATAACTAAAACCTAAAGATAAACTAATTACCTGCAACAAGGGCAGGCACACTAGTTTGTCCCGTATCTGTCATGCTAAAGTGTGACTAACATCACACGGATCACAAGCTGCACGAAAGCTATATACAGCGTAAGAAGCATGAAGTTTCTTATGCTGGCCTGTTAGCTTGCAAGGCTATGCTGACAGAAGCCAGGTGTAGTTACCGCAGGTGGTGACTTCCTGGAGTCATACACCTTGATAGCATTAGCGTAGCATACCCTCCACGTACACTTTTCCAGGCAGGTGAGACGTAATAACTTACCATTCTGTGGGGTTTTAACGTTTGTGTCACGTGACAAACGGACTCTACTCCCTCGTTGCCCACTCAGACGTACACCCGAACTAATGCCGAAAGTTCATTCCCGTGTGAGGTGCTCAACTACTGCGCTTGTAATAAGCGCAAACCCTTCCCCGACCGTTGCTTCTGCCAAAGCACTTCCACATCCGAGGAGCATGCGCACTCCGGCACGTCTAACGTGACGTTTATGATTTCGTCTCACTTCCGGAGGGTTCGAATGATCTTAAAGTGTATGAAGTGTACATCCTCACCGTGTGTAACTGCGGACACTGAGTCCCTGGTAAAGAAAAAAAGAGAGTCTCCGTAGCGGTAGGATTTTCCATCATCATCATTCATTAAACACCGAAAAACCAGGTTTCTCTTCAGCATTGTAGCCACGCTCACAAAAAGTCAGAGCTCTGCTGAGTCAAGCATTCCTTTAACTTCATTGATTAAAAAATAAATAAATGAAATTTTATCTATTGAAGAACAAATACTCAAAGCCATAGGCACATCATTATTTTAAGCTACTTTAAATGTCATTTATATTTATTTAGACTCTTTCACTTCAACTAATCTGAATCTGAAATAACTTTAGTAATCGCTTCCTCCAGGTCATCAACGTGCCCATTAGACCTCATTACCCATTCCTGCTCAAACTATTACAATTAGTAAATGCTTTAATCTTAAATATGATCATCTATCTCTATTAATAGGCTAGGTGCAATTAAGGTGGCAATCATTAAACTATTACTTAAAAAGCAGTAACTTGACCCAGCTGTCTTATGTAATTATTGACCACTCTCCAGCATTCCTTTTATCTCAAAAATTCTTGAAAGAGTTAAACAGCTAACCGATCATCTGCAGAGGAATGAAAAGAGTTTCAGTCAGGTTTCAGAGTTCATCACAGCACAGAAACAGCTTTAGTGAAGGTTACATGATCTTCCTTGGCCTCTGACAGTGAACTCATCTCTGTGCTTGTTCTGCAAGACCTCAGTCCATCGTTGATACTGTTGACCACAGTATTTTATTACAGAGATTAGGACTTGCCATAGGTTTTAAAGTATGGCACTGTAGGGCTTTGCATGATATCTGTCTGATAGACTCTGTTTTTTTTAATAATAATAGATGGATTGGATTTATATAGCGCTTTTCAAGGCACCCAAAGCGCTTTACAATGCCACTATTCATTCACTCTCACATTCACTACACTGGTGGAGGCAGCTACAGTTGTAGCTACAGCTGCCCTGGGGCAGACTGACAGAAGCGAGGCTGCCATATCGCGCCATCGGCCCCTCTGGCCAACACCAGTAGGGGTAGGGTAAAGTGTCTTGCCCAAGGACACAACGACCAGGACAGAGAGCCCAGGGATCGAACCGGCGACCTTCCGGTTACAGATACGCTTCCCAACCCCCTGAGCCACGGTCGCCCTGATTTTCATGTAAACGGAGAGTCCTCTTTACACACTAAGTTTAATTATCCAGTCTTTAAGTGATGACGGGATGAACCCTGCTTCTGGGTCAAAACTACTCTGCGTTTAATAAGGCTGTTGTGTTTTTAAAATGTTAAAATCTTTTTCTATTTATTCTGAACTTCAGCACCCCTAAAAAGCGGGGTGGCTTTTTAGGGGCTTGTGCTCAGTTGGTAGAGCAGGTCAGATACTAACCGGAAGGTTGGTGGTTCGAGCCCAGGCTCCTCCTCTCAGTGATGCCGCAGTGTTCGTTTGAGTTTGGGGCCTGAAGCGGAGTTTGGACCCCAAAACAGCTAATGATGTCAGACTTAAAGACCGGATTGAGTTCCACATGGTTCTGTTCTAGGACCAATTCTGTTTACATTATACAAGCTTTCAGTAGTATCATTTGAAGTCACAGTATAGATTTTCCTCGCTAGCAGATGACACAACATGGTGTCTAACCAGATACTTAGTATCTAAATATGATGGGACGCAGAGTCTTCAGCTTTTAGGCCTTCTTTTCTAAAGTATATAGTTAGTGCTCGTTCTGGTAACTCTAAATCCTTCCTTATCTGGACCTAGACTACTGCAGGCTTCCTGTGATGCACGGACTGTTTCTTCGTCTTCACTTACCTTTTTCACATGTGTAACTTGCTAACTTAGCCCTGTAGAGTCAGTGTTAAACACCTGGAATGCACAGAGTTGATTGGTTAAGTGGTATCATGTGGTATGGCTTAGCTTCCATCCAATTGGTCTGTGCATTTCTGCAGCCACTGAACCACTATCATAAAGACCAGAATAGCTGAACCAGTTAAAAATAGAAGTGCCCTCCCTGGTGTTAAATGATAAACTTCTGTTTTGGCTGTAGGTCTGGGTCCATATGGGACAGCCTGTGGGTCTGGATCTGGACCTTGGTCCACATAGTGGCCTCTGCTATAGAGGTTACACAGGTAGTCCAACTCCTCCAGGATGGTACATTAATATGTATCATTGACACAAGGTTTTGCTGTGTCTCCCAGCATAGTCTCAAAGCATGAAGGAGATCGTTACAGAACCGCTCCTTTGTCACAGTAGGAACAGAGTTAACAATTTTTGGAGAGTCTTTGAATTCAGCCCTCTGTAGGTTGAAAATGTTCATTTCCAGTGAACATTGTGGCATCTTTTTGTTCCCAACAGATCGCATATTACATATTATTATAGCTATATAGCACATTTTTTTTCTTATCAAGATCTAATATGTTTTCCAAGTTCCTTTAATTATGTGTTTGGGATATGATGCTGAAAAATGAAGACCTCTTGCCACTCATTTTCACTCCAGTTCTTGTGTAATGTTTCCCCTTCTTAAGAATGGCTTCCTGACAGGTTTTCTTTGCTTTGGCGAATCAGTGACCCCACCCCACCCTATATCTTGCTTTCAGATACTGTTCATCTACTGTAGATAGATACAGATTTTTTTAGACATGCTTTTGTCTTCCACTTGTCTAGTTTCCTCAGTCACTGCACACCATGCTGTTCAGGTTTTCAGCTAATACCTATTTTGCAGCTTAATAGTACAAAAATGCTGTTTTATGCGAAGCTTATCTTTGGCAGATTTAACTAAAGCAATGGGAACTAATATTTCTGTTATGTGTAGAAACTATATTGATTTGTTAGGTGCCTTTTGATGCTTGAGTCAGGGGGAGAACAGAAAAAGTCAATGTTAACCTTTCAAAGAACTCCTCAAAGACTGCAACATTGTAAAAAATATAGTAGTTTAATAAATATAAGCATAGTGACAGAAATAAAAATGTAAGAACAAAACAAACAAAAAATATGAAATATATTTTTTAACAGTAATAATATCAGATACAGGTTATGATTATCTAATCCAATTTAATGAAATATAACATAATATAATCCATTCAGCGTCCCTCCCTTACAATTAAATCAATATCTTTTGTATCAGGAACAGGTGAAATACCTCATATGTTCACTTTCCTTTATATCACAATATGTTTTATCAGCCAGAAACATTCAGAAAAATATATAATCTATAAAGATATATATATATATAATATATATATTATATATATATATATATATATATATATATATATATTATAATATATATATATATATATATATTAATTATATATTATAATATATATATATATATATATTATATCAAAATCTTTTTCAATAATGTTGTAAAATAAAACCTCCAGTGATAAAGTTTACAGTTTCAAATATGTCATCTGATTTAAGTAGTATATGTCAGATATGTCATCCATTGGATGGTCATGTGGAATTTTAAGTAGCCTCACGCAGGGGAATGAAAGGTTTTCAGAGCGGGTTACTGCTGAGGCTGGTTGAACTGACCCATGAAAAGAACAGCACCTAAACATAAAGGGGAGAACATTAGGGAGCCACTCTACCAATTAGCAGTCTGGCATTGTAAAATTGTATTCTAGTGAAAGGTTACCTGTGAGTTTGTGCTGGATAAGGAAAAGGAACGGTCGGTCTAGAATGATCTCCTCTACGGCCATACGAGAAAACAGGACAGCAGCTAACAGAACAATGAAAAAGAAAGGGGGGTCAGTGCTGGGTTTATGTGGGGACCTCATTTGGACCCCTCACATTATCTTCAAGTAGTTCTCCTGATACATTTTTTGTTGAAAAGTATTTGTTACAATTTGATTAATCACAAAAAATGATTAAAATATTTTCTCTGTGTCTATGAATCAATATCTATAAACGACATTAAGAACTCTTCTTCTGTTGTCTATTTTCAACGTCCCCTTTTAGGTTACATCATATTATGTTCCATACTTACATAAAACCATAAAAAATCAATTATATCACCTGTGCCACAAATAAATATATATAGACTTGAGAAATGAGGGTACCTGTTGATGCTGCTCCTTTGGTTCCCTCTTCATTCACCTCAATTTTCAGTTTTTGCAGGACCTTCGACACACACAGCCTTTGATCCACTAGAGGCAAAAACACAAAAAAACAAAAACAAATGAGTAAATAAAGAAAAAAACAATTACATAAAATATGTTTGTTTTTTTCATTATGTAGTTTTTTTTAAACCTTAAATTTTTTCATCTGCTTATTTATAATCTATCATTAAGGCTTAAAATGCTTCGATTTTAAAAATGGACAGTCTTGACACACAGGCTTTTAAGGTGGTTGTAATGAAAAGATAGATAGATAGATAGATAGATAGATAGATAGATAGATAGATAGATAGATAGATAGATAGATAGATAGATACACTCATGACTCCAAGTTTGTAAGGAATCTTGGAGGCATTCCTGACTCCAAGATGATAGCACTGATAGCACTGTTCTATCTACCCGAACACTCACAGTGCTTTATACAACTTCTCTCATTTATACCATTCATATGCTTAAGTGCTTTCTATCTAACATTCACACTTAATTATTCTCCAGTGGATGCATCGGAGAGCAGCTTGGGGTTAGTATCTTGCCTGAGGATATTTGGCATACAGACTGGGGTAGCTAGGGATCAAACCTCCAACTTTCTGATTGGTAGATGACCTGCTGCACCTCGGGAACTACAGTTACCCCCGAGAGGTGAACATTTAACAAAAAGGTTGACTTACAGGTGATGCGTGTGAAGTCTGCAGTAGCTGGGTTGAAGATGTCTCCTAGTCCCATGTTAACTAGCGCAGTCTTCAGATTCACCTCGGAGTCCAGAGTAAACCTTCAAAACACCAGTCTTTCAGTTTCTTGTGTTTTGTTTAGGCTGACAGCCTTGTGATAATCAATATGAATCAATATAATTTCTTGTTAGCTCCAAAGATACACTCTGACCACTCTTACCTGGGCAAGGCCAGCTGCCTCCTGACATTCCTCAGCTCTGTCCTCCACTGTCGGATCTTCTGGCTGCTCAGATCTGCACTGAGCGTGCTCAGAGGAACTTCAGGCTCAAAGGGAGACACCAAGAGCATGCTCAGTAAGTCGCCCTCATATGGGACCTCGATCACATCGTAATCCACTCCATCAGCGGTTACAAACTCTCCTGTTAATTGAGGGGAAAAGAAAGGCCTTAATGAGTAAATACAGATAGAGACCTTAGTCATCTGTGGAACCGTCTGATAAACAAGTGCAACAACGTGGCCCACCGTAGTTGAAGCGGTTGGTGATTCTCATCATGTGGACTGGCACAGTGCTGCCATTAGCACAGTGGAACATCCTCTCCTGTGTCAGTTTTGGGTCAAAGGGAATTTTCCAGAGCCCCTGGAAGTGGAGCGCATTAAGGAGGACGAGGCGTGTCTGATCAGTCAGAGATCCAGACTGCAAGAATTCAGGGATAAGACCTGCAGAAGAGATGACCAAACGATTTCAAAGATGGACACAAAGATAGACGTCAGCAGAAATCAAAGCTGATGGAGGTTTCAGACGGGTTTGAGTCTGCTATATGAATATACCTGCAGTGTGATCTGAGACCCATGCATTGATAACGCTGATGGCTTGGTCTGGCTTCGTGAAGTCCACCTGGTGAGGGTTGGTCTTGAAGGCCTTGGCCAAGGTCCGGTGATATCTCTTCTCCAGATTCATCTTCCTCTCCACCATCACCCCGTTGGCTATTTCTACCCCTTCCTCAGTGGACAGGCCCCGCTGCAGAAGCCACTGCTGCCGAAGCATCCCCCGCTCTGCGGGACGAGTTTTGTTTTTCATGGTTATGGTCTTGACATGCTCTAGTCTACCAAAGTCACAAAACTACCTTTTTTTAATCTTTCTTTAACTTAGTTACAAACTTTCTCTTGCAAACGCTACAGTATGTGTAAAAACAGTAAATAGTGCCATATTGTTGTCCTGATGCTAAAAACTTTATGGATATATTCTCATTATTTCCTGTAACCTGTTCCTGTTGCCGCAGTCCCACTT